TAGAACATGATGGTCCCGTTCTCCTCATTGGAAAAGTCTGTGTGGAAAGTCAGCAGCATCTTGGTCCCTTGGGACAAAAATTCTTTCTTCCCTGGGGGGTTGCCCAGTGCAGACCCCAGCTTCCCACAGAACCTCCCCAGATCTTTCTTATCAGCAGAGACCTGGTGGAGGAAGGACATGGGGTAGGAAGAAGCCCTGTGGAGGAATTGCTTCCCATGTGACAGGTTGGGGAAAGTCCTCCTCTCTCGCCCCAGAGAGAATCATGCCCCACAATGGCTCCAGCTGGTCACTGCTTGCTGGGCTCTGGCTGCTGCAATGTCCCAGGTGACTGATGTTCATATGTCTGCCTGAGTCTCCCTGTGACTAACTCTTTGCATGTCCTCTTGTGCCTACTACCTCACTTCTCCTGTTTTATGCTCCCCCAGTGGATTGCAGGTCTCTCTCCATTCCCACCACTTCCTGTGCCCTTCTTCCACTGGAATCCTGGTCACCTCTGCCCAGCCTTTATCATTCCCTCATTCCTAGAGCCTAAACTGGTCTTTACTTTCTGTCTTCTTGTTTCACCTCGTCTTATTCAAGCCATTCACACCCTCTGGATATACCCAGTTGAATACAAGCTCCTGGGGCTCACCAGCCTTAGCTGACTTTCCAACCTCTCAAAGGCAGGAGATGTGTCTCACTGTCACTGCCACCAACCCTTCCCCTCCCTTGCAGACTCGCCAAGTCCTCTGTACTAGGAAGAGGCACCATTTTCATGTTTTTCTCTCATATCCTTCAGGCTGTCACCTGGGAATGGTAGTTAGAGGAAATTCACAGGCTTTGCTTGAATCCGGAATCTTATTTTCGCTAGAAATAGAAAGACAGGACTGGGAAGGAAACCCCCTTGGTTACAGAGATGAGGGAATCGAGTCCACCATCCTTGCTGAAGGCTGTACTCCTACACACATTTCTTTTTCTCATGTCGATGAGGCAGGCAGCCATGGAGATATCCTCCATGAGAAGGGAAACTGAGGCATGGCTGTTTCCCAAAGACTACTAGCTAGTCGGCAGATTGGAGGTTTGTCTGACTTTTGTAGACTGAACCTCCTGAGAATGGGGCTGTGGCTCTGAGGACTTTACAACCTGTGGGTACCCCATCTACAGAATCACCTGGTTTGCAGAACTCCACTTGGCACCTGCTCTTACAGGGCCGGGGTGGTGTTGGGGGTGGGCATGCTGTCCAGGGTGGTTAAGGCACAAGCCTGAGCATCCAGAAGGGGTTAGGACCTTCCCCCCTCTGCCCTCCCAGTCTGACTCCTACCTTGACATAGTCATAGGAACAGCCTTCAGAAGGCTCCACGTCAAAATGCCAGAAGACGAGTTTCACTCTGTATCCCTCGGGGACTGTGATCACAGTGGTGGTCTCAAAGTTGTTGGGGTAAGGCTTGGGGTACAGAGGGGAAGTAACTTCCCCAAAAAGCTTCTGAGGGATGGGGGTGGAGACTCCTGCCCTGCAGAACAGGGCTGACACCAAGAGGAAGAAGAGCCACCTGCCAAAAAGGAAAAGGGTGACTGTGGAGGTGGAGGGGTGCAGCACCCTTGCTATTTAGGCGTTGGCTGGGGTGGGGGACAGGATGGCCATATTTCTCTGCCTTATCCTCTCTGTCGGTTTCTAGACCTAATAGAGATGCTCTTGGTGGGGTGGGTGGGGCAGGGGCCCTGGCCTTGGTAGCTGTTGCATCCCTCCCAGGGCAGTGTCCAGTCCAGAGGTCACCACATTCTCATCATGCTCCCTCCCCAGCCTTCTCCCCTGCCCTGCCCCCTCCATCCCCTTCTCTTCCCGGAATAAGGCTGGCTTGGGACCAGTCCATTGAGGGTGAGAGTTTCCAAACATGGCTCTCTTAAAGGACTCCCAAAGGTTCAGCAAAGGCCTCTGGGAGCAACCCTTCATGGAGTCTGAGAAACACACCTGGGGGATCCTCCTCCTGGGAAGCTCTCAATGATCCCAGAAACAAAAGAAGGGGAAGATCATATTGGCTTACAAACGTAAGGACTCCTCTGGTCTCTAGAGGAGGGACAAGGGTATGTGTTCATGTGTGTACATGCATGTGTGCATTGGGATAGGTGAGGTATACAAGTGGGGAAGGGTGTTTCTGTCTCCCTGAATAAATCTGGATACAGGCTTGCCTCCTATGCCCAAGCTTCTCCCTCCCAACTTGGTGCCCATTAGCCTTACTCACATTTCTCAAGGCCCGTTTGTGTTTGGGTCCTCAGCTCTCCTGACAGCGTCTTGATGCACTGTGTGTTGAGGGAGACAGCAGTTGTGCAGAGGAGGGAAGGGGGAGGGAATGATTGTGGAGGTGGAGGGGGGACCATTCCCGGAGGAATGTTGTAGGGAATGAACTATTTGCATAAAAAAAAAAAAAAAATCTGAGTTTCCACTTTGTTTGGTTTTGGTTTTGAAATCCCTGGTAGTGGCGCCACCTGCTGGTATATTTGGGGAAGAGCTGTGGAGGGAGGTGGATCTGAATTTTTAAGGATCAGGAAGACTTTGGTTGAAACTTCAGACACTTCAGTTTCTAAATCTGATCGATATTTCTTCAAAGACTTTCCTAGGAGCTTCTGCTGTATTTTCAAAATTCCTATTGAACAGGCAAACAGGGAATCACAGACTGTTGGGGACTCCTTTTTTGGGGCTGCCTCTTTGCTTCTTTCCTTTCTTCCTTCCTTCCCTCCTTCCTTTTCTTTTTTCAAGACTGGGGATTGAATCCAAGGTCTTATGCATACTGGGCAAGTGTTTTATCACTAAGCTACAACCTCAGTCCCTTTTAAAAATCTTATTTTGAGACAGGGTCTTGCTAATTTGATCAGACTGGTCTGGAACATACAATCCTCCTGCCTCAGCCTCCTGAGTAGCTGGGATTACAGATGCATCACCAAAAAGTCTGTTCTTTTCTATTGACCCTGTTCTTCCTGTCCTTATTCACCCATCAGCCCTTGTCCAGGAGCACCCAGGGTTAAATGCCTGGAATGAAGTGACAGGAACAGTGGTGTAGGGGAGGGCCTGTAGGAGTGGCCAGAGGGAAATGGGTTTGGTTGTGTTGGGGCCCTGGCCTCTTTTACTCATGAATGACACTTAGGTGGAGAAGGAGGGTTATTATATCAGGTGACCCTAAAGCAGTATTAACTGGTGAAATCCTCCCTCCCACCTCAGTGATCACAGGCTTGCCAACTTTCCTCTTAGAAAAATGGGGATAGCTTCGGAGGGGCAAGAAAAGTTCTCTTTCCTTGGCATCTGGTCAAGTTTGAGTCCTGATGATTACAGTTGCTTAGTGCTTAAGGAAAAGGGTGTGGCTGCAGAGCAAGAGTGACTTGGTCTTTTTCGAGAGAAAGCCTGTCTACCAGGACATGGTGTACTGTTTTCAATTTTTGCTCTTTGGGGGAGTGTTTTGTCATTAACTCTTCATGGCTCCAAATACCCTGTAGTACTGTGTCCCATAGGAGGCTCAGCCTGCAGAGCAGCCCTCCCAGTTCCTATACCTTTGTAGGCTGTCCTGCTTATTTTCCTTATGATATTGATTTCTCCATCACTCCATCCATCTGCCTGCCCACCTACTCATCCTTTACGGGTTACCTACTTAATGTGCTAAGCATTTTGCCAGACAGTGGATTGCAAGCGCTCACCAAGATGGGCCAGTTGCCCATTTGGCAGTGATCAAGTCATTACCAAATGCAGTTAGAGAGCAGGCACATGGAAAATGCAAGAATAACCAAGGTTTAGAGGCTTTACACACCAGGCTTATGTGTTGGAGTTGAAAACTGAATCTGGTAGCAGGGCTGATTTAATAATGACATGATCTATGGACCTGTCAATCAGGAAAGACAAAAGATAGGGAGAAGGAGATGGACCAGATCAGAACATGAGGAGAAAGGGGAATTTTTGTCTATCATAATTATAATTGTAATTGCACAATAGTATCCTAAGAGTAGTGTGTGTGTGTGTGTGTGTGTGTTATGTTCATAATGGGGGCAGGGAGAACAGGTGAGGAGGGAACAATATAAGAAGGTAAGTCTTAGCTGAAATTTTCTCATCCATCCTAGGAATTCTGATTTCTGTCTTGGTGTCATGTAACATCCTAGGGGTTCTGAGTTCTGTTCTGTCATGCAATATGACTGGAAAATGACAAACCTGGACCTTATCCACTTAGGCCCCACCTCCACTCTGCCTACCTGTTCAAAATAACCATTACTTACATGTTTTTGGTATGCCTTTGCCATATACCAAGAATAGAAGAAAGAGCCAAATGAAGATTGTGCCTGCATTTATTTAAGATATTATTATATTGTTCATTCCTTTTAGGACTTGGTTCTAGAGGAAATAAATTTCTTTCTTTTTCTTTTCTTTTCTTTTTGGTACTGGGATTGAACCCAGGGGCACTTTAATCACTGAGTTATATCCCCAGCCCTTTTCATTTTTTACTCTGAGACAGGGTCTCATTAAGTTGCTGAGGCTGGTCTTGAACTTATGATCCTCTTGCCTCAGCTTCCCCAGTCTCTAAGATTACAAGCATATGTCACTGTGCTCCACAAAAAAGTTTCTTTCTTAAAATAATGGTAGGTTTGATGTGTTTATATCTCTATAATTCATCATCCATATCTGTTTCTCTAGATTTGGATCATCCTCACCATCTTTAGTTATAGTTTTATATGTATAGATTTGGAGCTAGACATAGACTTAAATCTACATTTAGAGATATAAATAGATACAGATCTAGACATTCCCACATGGAAATAGATATCTATTTTTGCCATGGTAGGGAGAAACTCATATCATTTTTAATAAAAAACTAAAAAAAAATAAGTAAAATGAAATAAATAAAAATGACACATGCTCCCTAAATTAAAAAAAAAATTAGCCAATACAGAATGGGGGAGAAATGAACAGCCAAAATCATATCACCCAAAACATCTCTGTTTATTTATTTTTTTCTTTTTCTTTTTAATATTTTTTTTTCAGAGTAGAAATTAGAAGTTTATTAAAGGACAGCAGAAAAGACTTCTCCTGGAGGAAGAAGGGGACCCAAGAGGTGGAATCTGTGGAAGTGCGGTTGTCTCTCCATTCTATAGTTCTTTCAGTCTCTGTTTAATATTTTGAGTTTTTTTTTTCTCCCTGTATTGGGGATCGAGCCTGAGGTGCTTATCCTCCTATCTCAGCCTCTCCAGTAGCTTGGATTAAAGGCATGGGACTCCATGCCCACCTGAGAATATTTTTATTGTCTTTTGTACTGCCTATAGGTTTATAAAATAGAAGCAGAAGTAACCATATGTATGTACAACTTTGAATCCTGCTGTTTTGCCAGGATAAATATAACCTTTGATCATATGGAAACTCGACTTTCAACACTAACAAATTTGTTCTCTGTTTTATGTTATTCATTTTCTATTTCCACTGAATAGTTGTATTTTACTTTTTGTATTCCACTATAAAGCACCTCAAACCATTACTAAAAATTAAAGAGTTGGTCTTCTCTGGGTAGCTGTACCTTCATGATGAGAGGAGTACCAACCAGGCTGTCTGCAGGAACTTCCAATCCAGCACCAGGCTCACCTAGGTGTTTGCATGGGACAGGCCAGCAGGAAGTGTGAGCAGGTGATGCCATCTACATAGAAGCAAGGCCTCTGAGGGAGGGAGAATCTGTGAGGATGTAAGGACTGGAACAAGGAAGGGGGTGATGTGGTAGGTCTTGAGGAGAACTGGGAGGATCTTGGCATCCTGAAGGAGCACAGCCTCTGCAGTCGAACACCAGCTGTGGGACTAACACAGGTCACCGTAGCTCCCTGAACCTCAGCTTCCTCATTTGTAAGATGTGGATAATAGCACATTCTTTGCAAAAATAGTGTGAGGACTAAGTAAAATAACACGTGAAGCACCTGGCATAGAGAAGACGTCAAACAAAAAAGGGGATATTTTGATAATTGCATCTAGGAGTTATAGTAGGTGATGAAGCCCATAGCTTGAATATTTGAAGGTCAATTAAAGGGTCTTTGGGATAGTTCAGAAAAAAAATGCAGTTTTGGGAGGAGGGTACAGGGGATTGAACCCAGGAGTGCTTGACCACTGAGCCACATCCCCAGCCCTTTTTAATATTTTATTTAAAGATAGGGTCTCACTGAGTTGTTTAGGGCCTTGCTAAATTGCTGAGGCTGGCTTCAAATTCGTGATCCTCACAAAATTGCAATTTAGACCCCTTCCTCCATATTTCCTCTGAATAGGGATGAGAAGGTGACTTGTCCATAGGTGATTACAGGAGAGGCTGTGTCAGCAGATGAAGCACGGGAAAGGGATGCCAAAGACATGCACGGTGAGTGCTGAGAGCTGCCAGAGCTTGCTTTCCTGGTGCAAACATGCAGGAAGGTGGGGAGAAGGGGGCTTGTGGGGTGCTGCTTCCTGTTTGGGATGGTTTAGGTTGATGGGAGAGGGTTTCTCTCCCATGTGCTGACTTAAATAGGGGTTAAATAGGGGTTCCCTGCTTCTCCCTCCAGGGCTCCATCCTCATCCCCAACCCTCTCTTGACTGCAACCTCCACAGTGTTGACTGGTCACTGCTCAATTGTTCCAGGGTCAGTCCTTGCTGTCCATCACTCCTTTGATCCAGTCCACGTAGTTGAGTACTTTGGTGTAGAAGCCGTACCCCTTGCCACACCCAATGCCCCAGGATACGATGCCTGTGGCCACCCAGCGATGGGTGCGATCATCCCACACCACATAGACACTACCACTGTCCCCCTGGCAGACGCTGTTCATCTGCATCTTATCCCCAACACAGAACATGTTGTCAGAAAACACCTCAGTTCGATGCCTCTCCCGGAGCCAGGCCTCACAGGCCTCCCTTGGAGCTACAGGCAGCCTTGAGTATTTCAGCTCCTCAGTTAACCAGCCCATCTCCACACCAAACCCACTGACGTAGCCCCACAGGCCATCAAGGTAGAGGCTCTCGTTGTCAGGCAGACAGACTGGGAGGAGGTTGGGGCCCAGGGGGACACTGTGCTGTAGCTCCAGGAGGGCGATGTCCCCATTGAAGTTGTGGGACTCGTTCTGATGGTAGTCTGGGTGCACAAAGACCCGGCGGACAGGGTAGTTTCCCACTTTCAGCATCTCAGCTATGTCTGTGTGGCCCAGGAACACATTCACGCTCCGGTTCTTCCTGAGGCAGATGCTGTCCTTAGGCTGGATGGTGTGGGCAGCAGTGAGGATCCATCTGTCGCCCAGTAGGGCCCCGCCCCCACGTCCATAGATGCTGGTGAAGGCTTGCCAGGGGAAGTTGCCCAGTTTAGCTTTGGAAGAACCCAGGATCTTTGGGTTCTGGGCAATGGGGGTGACTGGCTGTCCACAGACTGGGAGAGAGAGAGAGGGAGAAGGGAACAATCAGCCCTGCTACCAGACACGTGGATCACAGCGCTGCTCTGTGAGTGTTGTGGTGGATGCAGAAAGAAGGCCCCAGGTATGGCTCTGCATGGGATCAGGACCTTACGATGACACAGACCCATGAGTGTAGACCACAGGGACTGACGGAAGCAGTGATTCAACTCTGACACTACTGGACACATAACCTGTATGGGACTCAGGACAGTGGACTGAGAGGTGGGGAGCCTGGATGAGCACTTTTGGGACTGCCTCTGTGGGGCTCCCTTTCCTGTCTCCTTGGCCATCTTTAAGCCATTCCTCTAGACTCTTGGTGGGACTACCCCTGGGCCACATCATGGTGCCAGCAGAGTTTGTCTTTAGTACCTCTTGCCTGTTTTCTATGTCATTTCCTAATTTGTATCATGTGCATCTTCTGTCCTCCAACCCACTCCCTGAGCAGGAAACTTCAGGCTCGCCCTATGGTTTTCTGTGGATCCTATTGGATTTGGAAGGTAATGCTTTGGTTGAAAATGTGGCCAGGTGCAGTGGTGCACACCTGTAATCCCAGCAACTTGGGAAGCTGAGGAAGGAAGATCGCAAGTTCAAGGCCAGCCTTAGTAACCTAGTGAGACTCTGAGCAACTTAGTGAGACCTTGTCTCAAAATAAAAAATAAAAAGGGCTGGGGATGTGGCTCAGTAGTAAAGTACCCCTGGATTCCACCCCCAGTACTGGAAAAACAAAAGTGAATTACAAGTGATGGGTTTGAACCTTCATATTCCTCCTGAGATGTAAAATGTGGCAGCTGCTATGAAACACAGTTTGGTGGTTCCCCAAAAAGTTAAAGATGGAATTTTCATATGATCCAGCCACTTCACTCATATCAGTATTATTCATAATAGGCAAAAGTGGAAAGAAGGGACTGGGGCTGTAGCTCAGTGGCAGAGCACTTGCCTAGCACATGTAAGGCACTGGGTTTGATCCTTAGCACTGCATAAAAATAAACAAATAAAATAAAGGCATGCTGTCCATCTACAACTACAAAAAATTTTAAAAAGTGAAAATAATCCACATGACATGCCCATCAGTTGATATACGGATAAATAAAATGTGGTATATAGGCACAAATGGATATTATTTAACTATAAAAAGGCTGAGGGCATAGCATGGTGGTGCTCAACTGTAATAAGAGCAGCTCAGGAGGCTGAGGCAGAGGGAATTCAAAGCTAGCCTAAGCAACTTAGTGAGACCCTGTCTTTAAATAAGTAAATTAAAAGGGCTGGGATGTGGCTCAGTGATTAAGCACCCGTGGGTTCAATTCCTGGTACCAAAAAAGAAAAAAAAAAAAGTATAAAAGGAATGAAGTCCGCTGTGGAGCACAGTGGTGCACACCTGTAATCCCAGCAGCTCAGGAGGCTGAGGCAGGAGGATCCTGAATTCAAAGTCAGCTTCAGAAAAAGCAAAGCACTAAGCAACTCAGTGAGACCCTGTCTCTAATATAAAATACAAAATAGGGCTGGGGATGTGGCTCAGTGGTCCAGTGTTCCTGAGTTCAATCCCCCTGTACCATCGCCCCCTGAAAAAGAATAAAGTACTGCTACAAAGTATACATATTATAACATTGATGAACCTTGAAAACATTATACTAAGTGGGAGAAGCCAGACACATATTGTGTGATTCTACTTGTATGAGATGTCCAGAATAAACAAATCTACAGAGACAGAAAGTAGATGAGTGGTTTCCAGGGGATGGAGGAACAGAGTTAGAGGTACTGGGTTTTTCAGATGGAGGATGGTGGAAATGTTCTGGAATTAGAGGTATTGTTTTTACAAAATCTACTGAATTGTACACTTCAAAATGGTTAAAATGGTGAATTTTGTCTCAGTTAAAAAAAAAAAAAAGGTAGAGGGCTAGGGCATAGCTTACTGGTTAGAGCACTTGTCTAGCATATGCAAGGTCCTGGGCTTGAAGCTTGGCACCCTTCTCAACACACACACACACACACACACACACACACACACGTCTGCCACAGTGTAGCATCTAGGCAGGAAGATTTTGGGAGGGCAGGCAGAAAGCCTGTCTGTACCCTTAAATACACACAGAGAGAGTTTTCTCTCTTTTTTTTTTTTTTTTAAAGAGAGAGTGAGAGAGGAGAGAGAGAGAGAATTTTTAATATTTATTTTTTAGTTCTCGGGGGACACAACATCTTTGTTGGTATGTGGTGCTGAGGATCGAACCCGGGCCGAATGCATGCCAGGCGAGCGCACTACCGCTTGAGCCACATCCCCAGCCCGAGAGTTTTCTCTTATTTCAACTTTCCTTTTCTTCCTCATTCACTCACCCAACTCATTATCCTCTTGTGCTTTTCTTTTCTCAGACATACTTTGACCCTTGAAGAATAAGGGACAAGCTCCTTGGCTCTCCTTTTCTGGGCCTTCCTAATTTCCTCCTCACCTTCTGTTCTCACACCTCTCTCTCTCTTTCTCTCTCTCTCTCTCTCTCTCTCTTTTTTTTTTTTTTTTGTGGTCCTGGGGATTGAACCTAGGGGCACTTAAATTCTGAGCCACATCCCCAGCCCTTTTTTGTTTTGCGATAGGATCTCGCTAAGTTGATCAGGACCTCACTAAACTGCTGAGGCTGACTTTGAATTTGTGATCCTCCAGTCTCAGCCTCCCAAGGCGCTGGGATTCCAGGCGTGCACCACCATGCTCATCTACTCTCATCTCCCCTTTCCACCCCAAGGCTTTCCTTTAGTACCCTGTGTCCCACAGGTCAAGTTACAGCTGAGGCTTGTTTGGGAGTGACCGTGAGAACAGCACTGGGCAGGTAACTACTCACCAGGTACACACTGAGGAATCTCCACCCCATCCTGTCTGTCCTTCCAGGTCCCCCAGGATGGGCAGCTGAGTGTCCCTGAGGAGCAAAATGGGGGTCGGGAGCAAAGAAGCAGACTCAGAACTGGAAGGTGTCAGGCTAACAGATTAGGTCCTTCGAGGGCCTTAGTAGGTCTTTGGGTGGGAGTGAGGCAGATGGAAATTGCTTATTCAGCAGATGGGGACTCACCCGCTGGCACTGCCTGATAATAGGGTTCCTGGCAGTGTCTATGGATCTTGGAGGAGTTGGCTCCCGGTGCAATGAGGGGTTCAGAGCCTCCACTGGCCTGGTTGATGGGCTGACTGCAGCTCACAACTATAGGAAAATAGCTGTCATTAGGCCTCACACAGACTTGCAAAGTGGCAACTCAGGAGCTGGTTCTAGCCATAACTATATTTTGTTTGACTTGAACAGTGCTTTTTAAAAAGTATTCAAAGGCCAGGTGCCATGGCACATACCTGTAATCCCAGAAACTCTGGAAGCTGAGGCTGAAGGATGGTAAGTTTGAGACCAGCCTCAGCAACTTAGTGAGACCATGTCTCAAAATAAAATATAAAAAGGGGCTATAGATATACCTCAGTGGTAGAGCACACCTGGGTTCAATCCCTAGTAACCACCCCCCACAAAAAAAAAATTGAGCTAGTTCTTACTAACTGATTGTCAACATGCAAAGACAAAATAACTATGGCTAAGTGAGATATGGGGGAGACAGAGACTTCCAAACATGGTTGGTGAGAGTGTAAATCAGTAAAACCTTTATGGAGGAGAATTTTACAATACCAAAAATAAAAATGCAAGTCTTTTTTGACTGACCATTTCAATTTTTAAAGATGCTCTCTTACACACACTCAGAAATGTATATGTAAGGCTATCCACAACATCACTGTTTATGGCAGCAAAATATCTATCAGCAGAGAACTGATTAAATAATTATGACATGTCAATCAAAGGGATATTCTGTGATCATTAAAAAGGAATGAGTCAATGCTAATCCTATGCATATGGAATGATTGTTAAGAAATAGCAAGTGAGAGGGTGGAGTTGTTGCTCAATGGTAGAATGCTTGCCTGGCATGTGTGAGGCACTGGGTTTGATTCTCATCACCACATATAAATAAATAAAATGCAGGTCCCTTGACAACTAACTAACTAAATAAATAATCAAATAATTTTTAAGAAAGATATAGCAAGTGAAAAAAACAATTTAGAACATTGTATTTGGTATGTAACACACACACACACACACACACACACACACACAATGTATCTTCAAAGTGTATAGAATATTTTGGAAGAATACCCAGGAAATGGAAAGCAAAGTTGTTTCTGGAGAAAGTAACCAGGAACTAAGGGCCAGAGATCAGAGGAACACTTATCACACTATCTACTGTGTTTTTGCCTTTTAATTTAACACATGGAAGTACTTTAAAATAAAAAAAAAAAAGTCTGAGTCACCATTTGAAAAATCTAGAATTTTACTTAAAACTCTTTTTTTGGCTTCTCTTGATCTGTAAATACTGGGACTGTAAATCTGCCTGGAAACAATGGCTGGAGCTAAGCAATGATTTCCTCTTAATTGGGCTGCTTGCTAGTAGGGTCAAGGATGGGGTCCCCCCAGATGTCCCTGAACCCCTAGCCTCAGCAGTCACTCAAGCTTCCACTTGTTCCTTCAAGATACCAGTATAGTGGCACCCCCTACTCCACAGAAAATTTTAATTAAGCTTCTCCAGAGACCCTCACCATAATTGTTCTTAGACTATCAGCAAGAATTTCTGCAAAAGAGTTTCAAAAGTGGTTAAGCTTCCTATTTCCTGTTGCTCTATCTTGTCATAACTATCTTGTGGGCCCGGAGGAGAACAGCACTCCAGATGTTGAGAACCCCTTTACTAGTTTTTCACAACATTTATGGGCTATCTAGTGTAGTAAATTTTCTAGTCTAAAATTACATATGATTGTAAGAGTTTTTAGGCGGAAAGTGTGTTTACAAAAGCAGAGTGTGATGAAGGAGGCACAGGCCCCTTTAACACAGCCTCTAGCCTTAGCCAGGAAGCCTTCACAGGGCTGTTTACATTTCAAAGGAAAGTAGTTAGATTCTAGGGAAAGTCTTTTTTTTTGGGGGGGGGGTACTCAGGGGCACTTGACCACTGAGCCACATCCCCAGCCCTATTTTGTATTTTATTTAGAGACAGGGTCTCACTAAATTGCTTAGCTTCTTGCTTTTGCTGAGGCTGGCTTTGAACTGGATCCTCGGAGCCCCCCTGGGATTACAGGCCTATACCACCACGGGTGGGGGTGGGGGTGTGGAGAGGTGGGGGAGTGAGGGGTGTCCAAAAGAGTAGATGAGTAGATGGTGCTGGTGCTAATTAGGTTCCTTGGAAAAACCAACTGATGGGGTGTGGGGAGGGAGAAGGGGAGGCAACTGTCCCTTTCCCAGGCACTGATTTTCACAGAGAGTGTCCTAGAGTTATTTTTTGTATCCAGGCTTGGGTTGATTGCCCAGAACAATAGAAAAAACCTACTTTTATATGGACTTCTGCAGATTGTGAGTCTCTGAGCTCCCCCTCCTCCTATACACTGGGTATAAAGTTTTAAACACTTCTGAACTTTGAGTTCAGAGAAATTAACTGATTTAGGTGAAAGCCTTCCTCTGGACCTGGGCTACAGCCAATACTGCTTCCTGCTGATTCCTCAGTGTCCAGCTTCACCTGTCCTACAACACCGGGACCATAGCTGGGGACAGAGGCTCTCTCCCTGCACCCAAGGAGGGATACTCACCCACAGCTTGGAAGAGGACCAGAAAGCCCTTGTGGAGATGGGTGGTCTTGTCTTTGGAGGAAGTGTGTGCACGGAAGGTCAGCCGAAATCTCCTCCCTGTGGACACAAACTCCCCCTGACCAGGGGGGCTGCCCAGAGAGGAGCTCTGCTTACCACAGAGCTGGCTCAGATCCATCCTACTAGCTGAGATCTGAAAGGAAGACGCGGAGGAGTGAGAGGTCAGGTAAGTATGCAGTGAGTCTGCACCATTGGTGGACACAGGGTCACTTCTGGGTTAGTTGGTGTGTGACTCCAGTCCCACCCAGAAGGTCTGCACCTCTCTGGCACTCAAAGGCCACACTTTCTTTTTCTTTTTCTTTTTTTGATACTGGGAATTGAACCCAGAGGCACTTAACTACTGGGCCACATCCCCAGGCCTTTTTAATACTTTATTTAGAGACAGGGTCTCCCTGAGTTGCTTAGGGCCTCACTAAGTTGCTGACTCTGGTTTTGAGTTTGCTTCCCCCCTGCCTCAGCCTCCCAAGCTGCTGGGCTCACAGGCGGGTGCCACGGCGCCCAGCTTGTGCCTCAGTATTCTGAGAAAAGCTGTACATTCCTGGATAAGAGTTTGGAAGAAATTAGTTACAGAGAGAACTAAGCAAACTAAAAATTGAAACAAAACCCAACAACCTTCCCGCCCTTAGAGAACTCCATGTCATTACTGACTCCTGGGAAACCCCAAAGTTGGAGAAGGAAATATAATTACTGAATACTATGTGCACAAATGTGAAATAATAAATATAGATTCAACTAATAATGATAACATTGATAAACTGGGAAAATCGGGCAAGGGAAATGTGGATGGTGAAGGACTAAGAAAGATAAAACCAGTCCTTATTTTCTATGGTTGGAATTAATAGGAAATGAGAAATAATGAAAAATGAATAATAGACTAAAATTGAAAAGTAAGTAATAGACTGAAAATGAACAATGCATAATATAATAAGCATTTTTCATATATATGAAGGTAAATACCAAATGCAACCCTTACATGAATTGGAAAGGATTGCTCCTGGGGAGCAGCATTTAAAGGGGGCCGAGAGGAGTAGCCTGCAGTCTGCTATTTCTCATTAGAAGCCTTGAAAGACCCTGCTTTAAAAAAAAAAAAATATGTGCATGTTTTATTTTGATATAAACAAAATTTAAGCCAAAATACAATATAAAGTACTGTTCTAAAAATGTCCTCATTCTGAATAATGCCCATGCCCTAAGAAGTCTTGGGGTATCTTCGCCAAGGTAAACTTTTCCCAGGGACTCAACAGTAGCTGATGTGTGAGTCCTTGACCTTTTCCTCTAGAGCTGCAATGTTTATGTTTCCTTTTGTAAGTCTAAAATGCAAGACCTGTCCTGCCACTTTCTTCTTTTGTCCTCCAGCACTCAGCCAGGGACAGAGACACTGGTAGGAAGCCACGTTTTGGGTAGACTGCCACTTCCCTGACTTGCACTCTTCATTCCCCACCCCCCCAGATGGGCGATTCAGGGCAGATTCACCTCCCACTGCCCCTGGGAGTCTCCCTCCCCAGGGTCCCTGAAAGCCCTCTCCCCGAGCTCACTGTGGCAGAATCCCCTTCTGGAAATGGCTCCAAGTCCAAGTCCTGGAAGAGTAACCTCACAGTAAAACCCTCTGGAGCCTCAGTGCTGCTCTCGTGGCCTTTAAGATATGGCTTTGGGTACCCAGGGGATGTCAGTTCCGGGGGGAGTCACTAGTCCAAGGCCACAGAGCCCTGGGTGGGGTAAGACTGGAGGACTCCCCAGAGGAGGAGCCAGCACCTGTGAGTAGGGGAGGCCATGGATTTATGAAGGTAACATATATCCATGGCCAAGTGACAATAAGGAATAGGAAGAGGCCTGTGGCAAAGGCAGGGCCAGTAGCTTTGGCCTCAGCCCTTGAGGCCTGGCCACTTCCTGTCTACTCCCTCATTATTACCCTTTCCCCACCCAATTCCTACAGCCTCCCATTCAGCCTGAGCTGCAGAACTCAGTTTTTCACCCTCTGAGGACATTGCCATTGCTCCTCTCCCTGGAGAGTCCCATCTGCAGAAGGGCTGCCTTCTGCCTGGATCTGAAGCAGCAATGAGGGTACAAGAGGGGGACATTTAAATGTTTCCTGTTCAGAGCATTAAGCCTGACCAGCTCCAGGGAAGAAGGCTGCTAGAGGCCATAAGCAAACTCCAGTTCCCTCTGGACTAACTGCTCTGTGCGTGTGTGCGTGGGCTGTGTGTACATAGGCTGCGAGTGTCCTATCCCCTGTCCTATCCCCCCTCTCCTCACCCTTTTCCTCTTCCAGGCGTCTCCCCAGGGCACACTCACATCTTGCCTGGGCAGTTTGTGGAGGGAGGGCTTCTCCAGAGATAGCTCTCCAACTCTGGGACCAGCCATCTGGAACCTGCTAGAGGACTTGGCCCAGGCCAGGGAACAGGAGGTGGGGCTGGAGAAGGCCCTGTGAGGAGGAGGGAGAAGTTACTGGAAATGAGTTGAGTAACTAGTTCCCTTTTTCTAATTCTCTGGGTTGAGTGCCACCTGCTGTCCAATAGCTCATCCACCACAACTGGGAAAAACAATCTCCAAAACCATGCTGGCCTTCAGGCATCAGAGTGGAGGGCACCACCTTTTGACACTTTTTTGATTTTTGTACACAGTAAAAACTAATTTTTACTGTTTGTGTATCACATGTGGTATGATGGCTTGAGCCTTTAACCAGTCATCTCTCTCCCTCCCACTCACTTACATTACCATCCTGCAGCTTGGAGAACCTGTGACCCATGAACTTGAACATTCTTTTCCTCTCCCTTTTCACCAAAGATGGATTGGGGTCATTCGACTTACACCATCTTTTATTTTATTTATTTATTTTTGGTACTACTGTGTACTTAACCACTGAGCTCACTCCCCAGCCCTTTTTTATTTTTATCTTGAGACAGGGTTTTGCTACTTTGTTGAGGCTGGCCTTGAACTTGTGATCCTCCTGCCTCAGCCTCTTGAGTTACTGGAATTACAGGTGTTTGCTGCTTGGCTTATATAGTCTTTTAAATCCCTCCCATAACCTCTGGAAGTTCCTTATCTACCATGGTCAGGGCCACAGGCGAGCTCAAGTATCCCCACATCCCTAGGAATCAGCTCAGCTGTCACTTCAAATTTCTTAAGCAGATACAAGAGGACAATTGGGGTCAGAGGCTCCCTCACTACACTCCCGGGAAGGACTGTCACTCATGGCTTGGCAGTGGGCCAGGAAGCCCTTGTGGAGGTAGGTGGTCTAGTCCTCAGAGGAAGCAATTGTATGAAAGGTCTAGACACATACCTGTCTGAGAAGAATCTACTGTTTCTTCCATTTTACTTTTAGTAACTTGGCTTTTCACAAAGGCAACAAGTTACAAACTCTAACAGGGTATGTTCTGGATGTTTGGTTTTTCCAGATTAAAAAGGTTTGAAAGAGCCACAGTCCATAGCTATCAGGGGATGGCAGAGATGGTCAGTCATACCTGATGTCCCAGGCAAAGTCTAGAAATCTACTCTACCCTGTGCACCACGTCCCAACCCCAAATACACCTGGGGATGATCTCCAAAGTTCATCTTTTGAGGAACAGTCCCTTCTGGCTGCGATTTCTTCCTTCCCCCCAAAGCATTGAAACCCATTCTGTCATCTAACTCTTAGGATCACATATAGCAGTTGGAAATCCAGAGTTGCTTTCAAGGGGTGCCCAAGGTTCCAATCCCACAACCCACCTGTTGGGTAGAAACCAGTGTGGCTCAGGTCAGGGCTTATTCCCCCGAAAAATCAGGGAGGGTCAGAACTATCCTCGGTTCCTGAGCTATTCCTAAGAGGGGTGGGGACTGGAATACTAGTTTAGCAGGTCTGAGAAGACTTCCCTGGAGATGTTCTGGAGGAAATGAGGAAAAAGGCCTTTAAAGGAGGCTCCAGAGCACATAGGAGTCCCAGCTGTTCTGATGTGCATGTGACTGAGGGGCTTCCTGGGTTTTCAGTTTTATAACAAAGCAAGTTCTGGGAAAACCAGGACATTGGCTGCCCCTTCATGGACAGGGGTTAAAGTGCTGGATGGAAAGAGGACAGGAAGCCAAAAGAGAAAGAGACAGTGACATCCCTAGAGCTGGTGACTTTGGCAGTCTGGGGCTAGATGTACTGGTCCCTGTTTGGGTGAATCTGACAACTTGAATATGAGGATCTGCTTTGTTCTCACTTAAGTGGTGTGGCTGCAGGGTGTTGGGGTCCAGGGTCCAGTCTCCAGGGACTTGGCTGTGTGTAGCTGGTGTGAGGCCTACAACTGTGCTTCTATCCTGTTTGCAGCACCACCTCCCCTGCACCTAGGCTTCTTCTCCAGCTTGCAGGGACACAGAAGTGGCTGTTGCTCTCTGGTTTCTAGCCTGGGCAGGAGAATCAGAATAGCTACCTAAGTAATTATGGGCATAGATGCAGACACAGGCTTTTCAGGACTGACACTGCAGGATGGCACACTTGTCCATGTCTGGGTGGGGAGATAGGAAAGATGAGAGGTTGATGATGTGGGTTTTAGAGCTGTGGGGACGGAGCAGGACCGAGGGAGAACTGGCACTCCTTCCTTAATTTCATCACCAGCAGCTTTTGCTCACTTTGATCTCTCTGGGGCCACAGGTGGATGCTAGAATAAGCCGCAAAAGGTTATAGCATTGGGCCTCTGAGCCACTCCCTAGAGCTCCAACCTCTAAAAGTGGGTTTCCTCTCATTGTGTGATGCTTGGCTCATAACTAGGCTGGAAGCGGCTTGAGTGTATCAGATATTTCTACCTTTGCTTCTCTAAATAATGCATGCATGGAACAGACTCCACTAAGCTGAAAAGATCTGAACTTACATTTGAACTATTGTTTATCTCAAGACAGTTTGTAGCTTAAGTAAATAGCCTACTGGAAGCACACACACATAACAGAAGAATGGAGATGGCAGAAGGAAGAGTCAGTGAACTTTCCTCTGAACAACAGAGGAAAATATTCTTTAAAAGAGCAGAAGTTCCAGGAAACCGTTAGACAATATATAAAAAAAATACACCAAATATACGTTTTCTTGGAATTTCATGAGAGAGAGAAAGAGAATGATGCAGAAGAAATATTCAAAGAAACAGTGACTGAATTTTTTCTCATTTTGGTGAGATACATATTTTTAGACTCAAGAAGCTTAGTAACCCCAAAGCACAGTTGAAAGTGAAAAATAAAAGAAGCACACATTGACATATCGTAGTCAAACTTCAAAAAAAAAAAAAAAAAAGCAAGATAAAGAAAATACCTTGAAAGTAGTCAGAGAAAAAGGACACACAACATAACAGAGAAGAATATTTTCAATGTCATTGTCTTGTCATCAACAACTAGGCAGACTAGGAGACAGTGGAATAACATCATTAAAAGGCTGAAAGAAAAAAAGTCATCCAAGTTCAATCCCTGGTACCAAAATAAATAAATAAATAAATAATAAAAATAAAATATATCATGCAGAGGGGAGTGAGGGGATGGTTGGAGCTGTGGGGATGGGAAGGACAGTAGAATGAGACAGACGTCATTACCCTATATACATGTATGATTACACTACTGGTGTGACTTTACACCACGTACAGCCAAAGGAATGAGAAGTTGTGCTCCATTTGTGTACAGTGTGTCAAAAGGCATTCTACTGTCATGTATAACTAATTATAACAAATTAAAAACAAAACAAAAGAAAAAAATAGAAGGAAGACTAGTAGAATAGAGAAAGGGATTAGGGGGAAGGAGGGGAGGGAAAGTGGGGGTACTGGGGAATGAAATCAATCAAACTATACTGTTTTATTCTGTGTACGTATGAATATATTATAACAAATCCCACTTTTATGTAATTATAATGCACCAATAAAAAAAGAAAAAGAAACTAAAAAATAAAAATTAAAGGGCTGGGAATATAGCTCAGTTGGCAAAGTGCTTGCCTTGCATATACAAGGCCCTGGGTTCTAATCCCCAGCACTACACATAAAAAAAATTAAAAATAAAAATATGTGTAGATGCCATCTATACGGAAACTATAGCATATAGGATGAGTGGTTGAACTCAGAAGGTTACAAATTTCCTTCATGTTACCTGAAGTGTAACAAATATGAACTTTAAGACTAGAAAGTTAAGGGTGTATTCTGAATTTCTGGTAGATGTTTCTCTGGAGAGCAGTTGCTCTCTGCATTGTCTAGGAAGCCCTCTGGGGCGAGAGTCTTAATATCCTTTCAGGGGGTCTATTAGGTCAAAATGATTTTATAAAAGCACTAAGATACTATTTGCTTTTTTTCCCTCTCATTCTTTCATGAGTATACAGTGGAGCATACCAGAGGCTACATGATCTGTGATGATTTATTACCTGATAACTATTGGAATGTGTGTTGTGTATATTT